TTGGATTGTGATTGGTTAATTGAAGTCATTAAGAGGTATATAATAACGTTATATACCTCTGATTTTCTAAGTAAAACAGTATGCATGCATCTTGAGGGCTGACATCATAAGTTGAAGAATTATCTTCCATGAACATTTTGTCAATTTCAATGAATGAAATGCATTCAGAAAGAAAAAAGATACCTTATAGCCTAATATAAAGATTACTTTAATACATTTTAATACAATGATTATTCTAATGTATAATGTATGTGATAATAGAAATTACTCTCCCAATGAATGCACAAATAAAAATGACGTTTTACAGTGTGATCCACATTCAGTAGTTTTCCGGTGAACATTAAAGGGACACTGATCCAGAGCGATGTATGTTTCTCGCAAACAGTCGAATTACGATACTTTGCTGAAAGCTGGTGGGTACCATCTCTCTCAAACCGTGACGGACACAGGGACTGGGCTACTGTCCTCTTTGGCAGAATGTCTTCAATCTAAACAGTGGGACATTAGGTAGGGTGGATGCCCAACAGATGCCATTAGTTGAAAATATTCCCGGCAGTTCTTGTCTGATTGTAATAATGTATCCCAGCATTGTAGGCTTTTCAGATTTTGTAATGCCTGGATGGTATGGTGACTTATCCAATTTAATCCTACTTTTTTACCTCAATATTTAATCATGACATGTAAAAATGTGTATTACCTATGATCCTAAAAAAACATGTTTGATTTATTTGAATAAGTAAACTAAACAACTCCACTTTGCCATTGCTAGAAAAGTTTGAAAATTTACTAAGGTGAATAGGTATATAGTTTTTTAATGTAAGTACACCGCAAATACTTATATATATCTGACAATGGTACAAGAATCTGTATCGAAGCGTCGCACTCACAAATAAAGAAGTTGTCATCCATAAAGTTTGTTCTATATTGTACTACCCAACTTCTAAAATGGCTCTCAAAGAAGTTAATGTTATGTAATATGCGCATGGAAGTGCAGCAAGAGGAATTATCAACTGAGTTACAAAAACAAATATCGATCAAAGGATTACAGATAACACGCTGACTGATTAATTACATCTTGCACTGCGTATTTGTCAAAAGGTAGTGTTTATGTATGTAGATTTACTAATCTATACTGAATACACCTTGTTGTAAAGTGCCTGTGTAAAAACAACATCCTTCCTTCAAAGGATTAACCACCAATACATTGATTGATTGATCATTATTGGCTAACTAAATTACCATACTTTCTTAAAGAATGGCGGACATCATGCAATTACTTGCCAGGTGTGCTATCTTGGGTGACCAATGAGACTATACACCAATGTGAAATACCTGAAACAGTCACGTGATCAGCTGAGAAACTACCACTAGTCATAACGTTACATCACTTTTTCACATACAGTAGAACATGGATATAGCGAACACGGATATAGCGAACAAATTTAAAAGTCCCATCAACAGTCCTTTATAATATCATTAAAATTATACGTGAATAACGAACTCGTGAGTAGCGAATTAACGGCTATAGCGAACTGATTTACTACCCCCAAGACCCAATTAACGACGTGATTAGCGAACTCACTCAGTGTCAGCTCAGCCACTTAGCGGTACAGTATACATCAATCTTGTTGGCGGTGAATCAACATTGTTGTAGTTGTATTATTTCAATTTTATTATAAAAATAAACTTCATATTTATCAACATGATATAGGTAATGTCTGTGAATGTCTACACCTCTACAATCCAAGATGGCGGTAAATGTGAATAACGAACAACGGATATAGAGAACTAAATTTCTTGGTGCCTTGGAGTTCGTTATATCCGTGTTCTACTGTATTAGGCTGTTAAAAGGCACATGACATGGAACAGGATTCTTTGTCACCTGCAGATGAATGGCATATCGTTTGTTTATGTGGATATTGATGGATACATTCCTTGAACAAGGTAATAGCCTGACATTGTTGCTATAATTTAAGTCTGTTTTACTTTTAATATTTGCATTTTGTTTTTATTCATTTGTTGTAGCATTCAACAGAATCATTTCCTCGCCATGAAGTGTTATGAGACAATATACACTAGGTCGCACTTAGGGCGTGTGTGTGAAATATGATTGACGTAATCTATAAAATGTCTAGATATTACAGTCATGTTATAAATTCATAAAGTATAAGCAGATCATGTGCTTTTTATCAAGTTTCAAAATGCACACAAATATCATAATAAACTAATTAGAATTAATAATAATAATATAGGATATTCATATAGCGCACATATCCCAGATAGCATTCAGACATTGGCCCAACGTTGGCAATGGTTTTGCCAACATTGCCAATGTTGAGCCAACGTCCGAATGCTATCTGGGATCCAGGCAACTAGTACATGCTCAAGGCTCAAGGAGCTGGTATTTTTTCCCTCAATCATTGGATGTCACTCTAAACGCCACATCTTATTATCAATCTCAACTCCCTGGGGAGTATATAACTCTTGCAGCCACTAGGCGCACCGAGTTTCTGTGGCTTTCTCATCCTAACGAGGTACCCATTCACAGCTGGGTGGACTGGGACACATAGTCACAGTACTTTATGCATGTCACTGTATTATAAGACAAAATATAGAGATGCACATTGACTTCCGTGTTTTTTCAGTCCTCATATTTTTTACCACTGGCAGATGGTTAAACTTCAAAATGTTCTTATTTGTTATCACAATAAGGCCAGACTAATTTTATTTCTTGTTTTATGGATCCGCCTGTCGTATTTTTTCAAATAAAAATTAATTTTCCCCGCTCAAAAAATAATTTTTTTAGATGTTTATAGGCCAAAAATGTAAATATGCAAGAAAATGCTTTTAGATTGTTTTTTTGGGCCCCATATACACTTCGTAAATTGCCAAAAGTAAAATACTTTTAGTATATACCAGAAATATTACTTTGACTGGGGATTTTTATTTTTTATTTTTTTCCCTCCTGCCTTTAGGTTTTCTGAGGACAAAAATCTGTAAAACAAGAAATAAAATTGGTCTGGCCTAATGAAGATGGAAATATTATCAAGTACAAAAGATTTCATCGTTGTTGATCAATCTATATTTTTTTATGCTATCAATTGCGCATGCTGGTGGTGCAGCAGAGGTCACAAACAAGTCAAGAATTCTGGGATATCATCATGATATGATTTGTATGTACAGTTAATGTTTGACAATTATTTGTGATAGTATGTTATGGAAAGTACATGTGATAGTGAGAGGATGATGAGATTATGACAGACTGGAGGTGAGGTGAGGTGAAATTGGGTTTAACGTCGTGCTTGAGAATATTTCGCTCATATGACGACGTGCATGCCTGTGTATGTGCGGCTGCTTGTACTAGCCCAGACTTAAGCTGGTTTTATAGTGCTATTCCACTGAGATACCATGCCACAGTGAAGAATAAATATCCCACTCAGACACATTATACTGACTCCGAGCCGACCAGTCCTTGTTGTACCCATTAATGCCGAGCGCCAGGCAGGAACCAACAAGTACCATATTTTTAACGTCTTTTGGTAAGACGTGGTCGGGGATTGAACCTGCGACCTTCCGCTCTCCGCGCGGACGCTCTAACCACTACACCACGGAGGCGGTCATGACAGACTGGAGTGTGAAGCTTGTGTAGGTGTAAAGAAGGAATGACTGGATGCAGGCTGAGTGACGGGGGTTGACTGGATTAGATATGTGTATGAATGGAAGTATGAGTTTGATTGATTTGGGAAGTATAATTGGTTCAGACGGCTTTGATTGGAAAAATGTAGTTGAAAATCAGTGAAGAGAGTGATTCAGTGACAGCTGGTGCATGAGAGGGCGGGTTGAAGTGCAGAGTATGTCAGAGCGTGCACGTGTAAGTGTGAGCGTGCATGAGGAAGATGGTGAGTGGATGGGTGTGGTGTGATGAGGCGTGGGGTGGTAAGTTTATCAGTCAGGATGTGTGTGGGTGTGGGATTGTACTCTGGGGGAGGGGTTGGGGGTTGTGGATAATGAAGATGTGAGGGCATGGAAGAGTGGTTAAGTTGGTTGTCAGAGTCTGTCTGTGATTGGATGTTGTGTGAAGTATGTAATAAGATGTTTGTATAGGTTGAATTTTATGAATGTGCTTTTTGAATGTTTGTAAATGTTTGTAATTTTATGCTCAGGTGTCTTTTCGTCCAGTAATGGCCCGGTGTGTTAAGAATGAATGTATACTATCTACCTGCACACATGACACCTTAATAAACTATATATCATACATATCATCCGGGTAGGACTTCACAGGAGAAAAACAATAACAAAAACAACAACCAGTCCATGGAAATTGTTCTGGAACAGTGCCCCTTTAACCGAACCGTTGTAAAAACATTGACTGCCTAATAATATTGCCTAAATATTGTCCAGAACAAGTCGACCTTAACAACGGACCAGTTTGTTTTTACATCCATCCAAAGGTCGGGACCTATCCTGTGTGTCAACCCTAAAGATGATCCAAAAATAACAACTTGACCGAAGCTGCGATCAATAGAATATGGCGAAAGAGGCCCAGTGTAATGCATTCTCACCGAAGTGCAATTCTGGTCACATTTCGCCTATGTAATAATGGTACATGAAATTATTTCCGTAAAACAGTAAACTGATGTTATTCTAGTGGTGTATAACCGCAAGTGTTTGTGACTGCCATCAAGGGCTCTCTCTCTCTCTCTCTCTCTCTCTCTGGCATGGGTCACTCTCTCTCATCTATATGGATATCTATATACCTCATTGTGTGATGGCAGATTATAGTGTATATAACCCCTGTTTCTGTAAGCCGATGGGCAAGGCATTGCCTTGGCCTGTTGGCTTGGTCAGAGAAGCGCATCCGATTTCGCACAACAACAACAATGATTGGGGAAATGGCGAACAGCAACAGATACCGACGATCAAGAACAAACGTGACATATCCCCAAAAAGGATGCTATTCAAAGCCCACCTTCGTATTGTTATCAGTTGCATTTACTTACGTTTTGAGTGTCACCACTATGTACGACCTCTCGGCTTCGGGTTGAAGCTATAAATAGTTTTACGACAACTTTTTCCGTTGCGAGCGCGGTTGTAGCTACTTGTAAACAAAACCGGTTTCCCGCCTCTCCCCCCAACGACCTGGTCCCCTAGCGGCTCCCACATAGTAGCGAAGGCAGTGTAGCGCCAGCGCAGAATACCCAGGGAACTAGGCTGACACCTCAACAGAGGCCGGGGGCCAGTCTGTTTTTATTGTGATCCAGCACGTTGCCATAACACAGGGTTCACAGAGCACTCATCACCAAATCAATGCTATGATGTTAACTACGCACAATGAAGATTTATAACGTTGACATATATATTTTATATATTATTATTGTTATGGATTTAAGCTGTATTTATCACGTGTCTATATCTCAGTGCAATTCTTAGGACACCTTTTTGAAAAGGTAACTCTTAATTTTGAGGTTGCATAGCGAATTTTGAACAAAAGTCATCTGACGGTAATCTTCTTATTTTTGGACATTATGAATTTATTTGTATCGATTACATATCAATTCGTGCTTTCAATCACTCCCTAATCAACTGTTGACCCGTTTAAGTTGGAAACATTTAATGTACTTACTGGAACATAATCAGCCACCTAACCTCAGGGCTCAAGTCTTATTTATGCGGCATTACGTCAAACCTTTTGTATAAAATCATTTCATCACTGCCCCGGGGTTTGTTTATCTTGTTATTAGGAAATCATGGTAGACTCATTCTCAATATAAGTGCACAATTACTGAAAATTCACGTCGTCACCATATACACTACATTTTCCGGTAAATGCCAGATTAAAACGTTACAATATATGATTTAATTCATAACCGAAGTGGCAACATAATAAGTAACGTTAATGTCACACTTTGCAGTCTATATTTGTGAGAAATGTCCCAGCTGAGAAAGGACTTGTCAACATAGGAATATCGCCAACAGGAGATGGTGTATCGACTAAGTTAGTGAGATGACACCCTGAGTTGTGGAAGCGGAAACAAGTGTCTAACGACAGCAGAAGATCTATTCAGACAACTTTTACGAAGTCATACTTTTAAGCGTTTTCTTAAATTTCACAAAAAAAACGAAATGTTCTATGTCTCTGTTTTCATGTATTTACGTTATGGACGAAAATTCAGCTGAAATTCAATTCTAACTTGCAGTAAACGTCTGTATTATCGCGCACTTAATTTATTTAATTGTGGAATAAATGAAAAATAAAACGTTTCATATCATATGGTGTCTTTACATACTTGAGTTTACCAAATTTCTATTAAGATATAACCGTATGGTTAAGGATGTATTTTACGTTATCGCCTTTCTGGCAAAATGTAGAAAATAAACACCATGGGTTGGTTAGGTGCTACTAATGCCAGCAACTGTAGAAATCAACAACGTCATGCCAAATAGATCAGTCGTTGTATTTTACGTTATGTGTATTATGTTATATATTTATTGTCTATGCATTATCAGCTATATATACTCTCCCAAAAAAGAAACGCATCATGAAAATAGCAATTTCATGTAGCAATGAATTAAAACGTGATTCATTTTACCAAAGGTTTTGCTCTGTTTATGAGTCCTATGGTGTTTATGTTTTGAAACATCACAACAAAACGGACCATCCGTAAAATACCCGTATTTAACAGCATGATTTTCAATTTCGGCGTGTAGTGTCACAGAATACACAATTCACATGTAATGCACGTGAAAGTTGGGGATCAGATAGTCTCAATGATGGGTATAAAAGGTTGATCGCTGTCTGTCCATTATTCACTGTATTTGGAATATTGTTGACGAACGCAAAATGCCACGTCTAAGTGAAGCCAACCGTCATATCGCCATTGGTTTGCTTGAAGCTGGCCAGTCTCAACGTGCAGTTGCCCGACGCATGAATGTTCACCAAAGCACCATTTCGCGGCTCTGGGAGAGATATCGCCGGCAGAATGCGGTAGCAGATCTCGAGCGACCAGTGCGGCGCAGGATCTCTACATCCGGGTACATCACCTGCGTCATCGAACAGCTACGGCGACCAGTACCGCTCGAGAAATACACCGTCAGGAACAGGTTGAGAGAGGCTGGTTAACGTGCCGGAAGACCTTATGTTGGCCCTGTGCTTCGACAACAACATCGTCGACATCGAGTTCAATGGTGCACTAACGTCCAGGCCTGGAACCTACCGAATTGGCGTAGAATCTGGTTCAGTGATGAATCACGATTTCTATTGGAACGACGCGATGGAAGAATGCGGGTGTACAGACGTCGACGTGAACGCTTCGCCGACGCTTGCGTTCCCAAGGTGGACAGATTCAGTGTTATGATGTGGGGAGCGATCGCCTGCCGTAGGAGAAGTGATTTGGTGATGATCCAGGGCAACCTGACAGCTCAACAGTACTGTGACGAAATCCTACGCCCACACCTCCTTCCAATTATTGATCGCCAGAGGGAGTAGTTTCAACAGGACAATGCCAGGCCCCACACAGCACGTCACACTAGAGACTTCCTCCAGAACCACAACATCAATGTGCTACCCTGGCCCCCCAAGATCACCGGACTTAAACCCGATGGAACATCTGTGGGATGCCCTGGACAGACGGGTGCGACGCCGTAACCCTCAGCCCCAGACACTTCAGCAACTCGCACAGGCACTACAGACAGGGTGGGCTGCGATTTGGCAACACAAGATTCTGAGACTTATTCGTTCGATGCCGAGGCGATGCCGTGCAGTTCTGGATGCCCACGGTGGTCACACGAGGTATTGACTTCAGCGCCACCACACGTCTCCATGTGACACTCAAACTGACTTTCCTCGAGTTGGTGCCAAAGACGGATACGTCTGCATTCCCAGTGTGCAATTTCGCTATATTCAATTGACTCATAAAGCCTACAAGATGTTTCAAAATAAACATAAAAATACAGTTGAAATTCCTATATGCGTTTCTTTTTTGGGAGAGTATACATTATATCAAGGGGGTTAATTGTCAAATATCAGTTCCAACATACATAAGTGAGTTAGCGCACTTGTCAATACGATGCTCATGCGATGAACAATGGTGTAATGGTTCCTGTGGACAGGAATTGTTTCTAAAGCATTTTTTTCAACTGGACATGCCCTTCGACTTCATGTTAATTACATTCATTGATCACTGTCATGCTGAAATCCACCTTGATGAAAATATGGACAATTTTAGACTGGTGCGTTTTCAATGATGTTCAGTATATATACCTGTAAATTTGTAGAAAAATCATTAAAGCTGTGTAAACGTTACATCTGCAATTTGCCCTTACCGACAATGAGTGTTATGGATTGGAAGTTACTTAGGTGTAGTTTATGCTAAAAGATAGTCGCGTGTAACGCCAAATGTTTTTCCACGAACATAAATGTTTTTCATAACGTATAATACAAGATTCATAACGTAACATACAATCAAACCTACTTCCATCCATATTAGATGTTATACTACGGACGACGTTTAGGACACTGATTTCTATTTCTAAGAGTCTATAAATAGATATTCTTGATTATAAATGAATATAATTCGGAACGATTCTACATTTAATTGTTTTAATTACAGCTATGAATTATATGAAAAAATCATAAATTGGACCATGATAACAAGAAATTAGGTTTGAATTGGATCTTAAATACTCATAAACGCAGTATTCATACGTGACCTTTGCACCATGCAACTTTCAACCTCTTATTCCAACTTTAGATTTTTTCGAAAAACATATTTGCAGTTATGCACTTACATTGAGAGTGAGTGGGTTATTATGAAATTCATATCAACACTTTAGCAATGTGTCAGCAATGTACCCATGTGAGGAATCGAACCCAGGTCTTGACCAGCGAATGCTTTAACTACTAGGCTACGTTTGTTGAAACTGAGGATATCTAATCATTGAGTTTAATATTTGAACGCAACAAATGCCAAAACACACGACGAAGCATAAACTAACCTTAGTGTAATTTTGTTTAAATACCATCTGTGGATCTCTGCACGTAATTGTGTCACGAAATAATTTACTTTGAAACGTTATGTTTTTTTCAAATAGTATAAACAACCTCGTTTGGTGACCAAAACACGATCCTTGAATTTCGGGGTTAGAACCTGGTCTTCAGCGACCCATGCTTGTCGTAACACGCGATGAACGGGATCTGATGGCCAGACTCGCTGACTTGGTTGATGCATGTCATCGTATCTCAGCTGCGTAGATCGATGCAGGCGATGTCAATCACAGGCTTGTCTGGTCCAGACTCGATTATTTGCAAACTGTCATCATGTTACTGAAAAACTGCTGAGTGCGGCGTTAAACAAAGAACAACAAACAATCTTAGCTTGGAGCAGGTTGTCAAACTTAGGTTCGACAGTTGGTGTTAAAACACTGATCCCAAAACGTTACAACAGATTTCAATACACATCACCCAGTAGTTCCACCAACCTTCGATCATCATTTCATAGTTCTCCCCACTATCGATCACCATCCAGGAGTCCTCCAACTGTCGATCATCACCCAGCAGTTCCACCAACCGTCGTTCATCATCCTTTAGATCCACCAACTGTTGATGTCCAAGCATGTAAGATGCCAATTGTTTATGACTGTATTCAAAATGACGTAGAAAAGGTGCAGGACACGTCTAATCATGCTTCACATATTAGAGTACTCCGTCAGGTGATGTGTTACATCTTGCAAGACACTGCATCCAGTTATGTTTCACTTGTTGCAGTACACTTGGTCCAGTCGTGTTTCACTTGTTGCAGGACACTTGGTCCAGTCGTGTTTTACTTGTTGCAGTACACTTGGTCCAGTCGTGTTTCACATGTTGCAGGACACTTGGTCCAGTCGTGTTTCACTTGTTGCAGTACACTTGGTCCAGTCTTGTTTCACTTGTTGCAGTACACTTGGTCCAGTCGTGTTTCACTTGTTGCAGGACACTTGGTCCAGTCGTGTTTCACATGTTGCAGGACACTTGGTCCACTCGTGTTTCACTTGTTGCAGGACACTTGGTCCAGTCGTGTTTCACTTGTTGCAGTACACTTGGTCCAGTCGTGTTTCACTTGTTGCAGTAC